CCGAGGCCTTGGGTGCTTGGGCGAGTTTATGAGATCCACGTGTCGTTGTACGAGTGGAGGGTCAGATATGGTACAAACAACCCCTGTACCAACCCAACCTCACACCATAACAAACAATCCAAAAGCTAATTTTCCTATCCAAACACTTACGCAAAGATATTCAGGCCAAGCACAACAATTCCAATGTTAATGTTCTGCGTCCCATAGTTGATCATCAACTGGGATCTGCATATTAAAGATCACCTTAGAAAAGCTGAAGACATTTTCAGGGTCTTAAAATCAAAGAAATTTGCATTGCTATTGGATGATATATGGGAGAGGGTTGATTTAGCCAAAATTGGGGTTCCTATTCCTGACAGACAGAATACGTCCAAGCTAGTATTCAAAACTCGCTCTGAGGAGGTGTGTAGCCGTATGGGCGCTCACAAAAAGATTAAGGTAGAGTGTTTGGCATGGGACAGAGCATGGACTTTGTTTCAAGAGAAGGTGGGTGAAGAAACACTTTATATTCATCCAGATATCCCTAAACTAGCAGAAATCGTTGCCAAAGAGTGTGACGGTTTGCCATTAGCTCTAATTACAATTGGTCGGGCCATGGCTTGCAAGAAGACACCCCAAGAATGGAATCATGCAATTCAAGTTCTAAAAAGATCTGCCTCTGAATTTTCAGGTATGGGAGATGAGGTATTCCCTCTTTTGAAATTTAGTTATGATAATCTACCTAGCGAGAAAGTTAGATCTTGCTTCTTATATTGTGCATTATTTCCAGAAGATTTTCTCATTCACAAAAGAAGATTAATATATTGTTGGGTTGGTGAGGAAATTTTGGATGAGTATGATGACATAACTGGAGCTCAAAACCAAGGGTATGATATTATAGGTACTCTGGTTAATGCATGTTTATTGGAAGGTAGAGAAGATTATGTGAGAATGCACGATGTGATTCGTGACATGGCAATGTGGTTGGCTTGTGAATGTGGGAAGGCCAAGGAGAATTTCCTGGTGCATACAGGTGCTCATTTGATTGAAGCACCCGATTTCGAAAAATGGAAAGGTGCGAAAAGGATGTCACTAATGGCTAATCAGATTGAGAATCTAGTAGAAGGATCCATATGCCCTAGTTTGTCTACCCTGTTTCTCACTAATAATCGTTTGAAAATGATTAGTGAAGGCTTCTTTCAGCATATGCCCAGTTTAAGAGTCTTGGACCTGTCAGAAAACAAGGGTATAACTCATTTGCCAATGGGAATATCAAAATTGAAGTCACCACAATATCTCAATCTATCGCAAACGGGCATAAGAGACTTGCCAATTGAGTTGAAGGCCTTAGACAAGCTCAAATATTTGAACTTGGAGTTTACCAGTAAATTGAATATGGTTCCAAGGAATGTAATTTCAAGTTTTCTGATGCTGAGGGTGTTGAGAATGTATGATTGTGGTTCATCAGATGATGTTCTATTTGGTGGAGAAGAAGCTTTAGTAGAGGAATTGGTGTGTTTGAAACACTTGGATGTGTTGACTATCACCATAAGGTGTGTCTCTGCTTTCAAAAGATTCTTCACCTCCCTCAATTTACTGACCTGCACTCAAGTTCTATGCCTTGAGTCCTTCACCTGTGTGAGCTCCCTTGACAAACATGAAATGTCTGGATATCCTTAATATTTGTGATTGCGAAAGCATGGAAGATTTGAACTTGATTTGGTTCAGGATGGAGCGGCTGCACAAGTACCTAACGGTCCTTGCAACTCATTCACAATGATCAAAAGTTGCTTCCACAGCCTTCAGCGGGTAAGTGTGTATGAGTTTCCCAAACTAAAGGACTTAACATGGCTTATTTTTGCTTCAAATCTTGTAACTATAGACTTACATGACTGCCCTGAAATGGAACAAATAATCAACTGTGGGCAATTGAGCAAAGTTGAGGAGGTGGTAGAAGATTTGAGTTCATTTGCAAAACTTAACAACCTGATATTGATCAATCTGCCACAGTTGAAGAGCATATATGCAAATGCATTGCCGTCTCCATATCTGAAGACAATTGTTGTATTTAACTTTCCACAACTGAGGCAGCTCCCACTGGATTCCAGTGCAAGCAAACGTAATATCGTCATCGAAGGCGAGGAAGACTGGTGGAATGAGTCAGAATGGGAGAAGGAAGCTACTCGAAATGATTTTCTTTCCTCCTTCAGAAATTTAAAGCTTTGACATAACTGGCAATTGCTGTATTAGTATCCTTTCATGCCATGATATGATTGCTCCCTTGTGTACATATATCTTTACTAAAGAAGGAATTGATAAATGCAATAGTCGTAGCTTTTGTCAAAAGTTGAAGAATAGTGAAATGGTAATCAATCTCAGTACAGGGTAAACAAGTTTCTAACTTAAATATCTAGAATTTTTTAATATAAAAAAAAAAAATCCAGAATTAATTTGTACCAAATTATGCATGGAGATTCTTCAATAAGTACTTAAGTTAAGGATTAGTTAAATATTTTTAAGGCTAAATTATTGAAATGCTCCCTGTAACTCAATTTCAGTCTCAGTTTCCCCCTTGAAACTCTAAGTGTCTCACTTTCCCCCCTGAAACTCCATATATTGTCTCACTTTGCCTATATTCCATCCAGCCAAAGTTGTCAAATCTTAACCCCCCCAAAAACAACCTTCCCTTACAAATTCAGATACTCTCTGAATCTGTAACTACACCCAGACTCATTTGCAAAACCAAACCCCTCTCCAAACTCCAAGAAACGAAGAACAACCTCCAACAATGGCGGCATCCCAACTCCTTCTCTCTCTCATCGTCCTCTCAGTTCTCTCTCTCTCTCCTCCGCCCTCCCCACCCAAACCCTCGTCAATGCCGCCGAAATCCTCTCAGATTTCGGCTACACCTCCATGGCTCTGACCCTCGACCTCGCCTCTCAAACCCTCCTCCTCTCCCAGTCTCCTTCTCTCACCATCTTCGCCCCCACCGACGCCGCCTTCTCTCACTCCGGTCAACCACCGCTGAACCCCCCTGCAATTCCACATCATCCCCCTTTATTTCTCTCTCCGATCCTTCAAGTCCCTGCCTTTCAGCGCCAAGATCACAACTTTACTCTCTGACCGCTCTCTCTCCGTCACCACTTTGGCCTATGACCCCAAAGCCTCACTCAACAATGTCCCCATCACTGTTTCCCCATCATTGTTTCCCCAATTTTTGACTTTTGCTAGGGCTGGAATATAAGCAAAGTGAGACAATATATGGAGTTTCAGGGGGGAAAGTGAGACACTTAGAGTTTCAAGGGGGAAACTGAGACTGAAATTGAGTTACAGGGAGCATTTCAATAATTTAGCCTTAAAAATATTTAACTAATCCTTAACTTAAGTACTTATTGAAGAATCTCCATGCATAATTTGGTACAAATTAATTCTGGATTTTTTTTTTTTATATTAAAAAATTCTAGATATTTAAGTTAGAAACTTGTTTACCCTGTACTGAGATTGATTACCATTTCACTATTCTTCAACTTTTGACAAAAGCTACGACTATTGCATTTATCAATTCCTTCTTTAGTAAAGATATATGTACACAAGGGAGCAATCATATCATGGCATGAAAGGATACTAATACAGCAATTGCCAGTTATGTCAAAGCTTTAAATTTCTGAAGGAGGAAAGAAAATCATTTCGAGTAGCTTCCTTCTCCCATTCTGACTCATTCCACCAGTCTTCCTCGCCTTCGATGACGATATTACGTTTGCTTGCACTGGAATCCAGTGGGAGCTGCCTCAGTTGTGGAAAGTTAAATACAACAATTGTCTTCAGATATGGAGACGGCAATGCATTTGCATATATGCTCTTCAACTGTGGCAGATTGATCAATATCAGGTTGTTAAGTTTTGCAAATGAACTCAAATCTTCTACCACCTCCTCAACTTTGCTCAATTGCCCACAGTTGATTATTTGTTCCATTTCAGGGCAGTCATGTAAGTCTATAGTTACAAGATTTGAAGCAAAAATAAGCCATGTTAAGTCCTTTAGTTTGGGAAACTCATACACACTTACCCGCTGAAGGCTGTGGAAGCAACTTTTGATCATTGTGAATGAGTTGCAAGGACCGTTAGGTACTTGTGCAGCCGCTGCATCCTGAACCAAATCAAGTTCAAATCTTCCATGCTTTCGCAATCACAAATATTAAGGATATCCAGACATTTCATGTTTGTCAAGGGAGCTCACACAGGTGAAGGACTCAAGGCATAGAACTTGAGTGCAGGTCAGTAAATTGAGGGAGGTGAAGAATCTTTTGAAAGCAGAGACACACCTTATGGTGATAGTCAACACATCCAAGTGTTTCAAACACACCAATTCCTCTACTAAAGCTTCTTCTCCACCAAATAGAATATCATCTGATGAACCACAATCATACATTCTCAACACCCTCAGCATCAGAAAACTTGAAATTACATTCCTTGGAACCATATTCAATTTACTGGTAAACTCCAAGTTCAAATATTTGAGCTTGTCTAAGGCCTTCAACTCAATTGGCAAGTCTCTTATGCCCGTTTGCGATAGATTGAGATATTGTGGTGACTTCAATTTTGATATTCCCATTGGCAAATGAGTTATACCCTTGTTTTCTGACAGGTCCAAGACTCTTAAACTGGGCATATGCTGAAAGAAGCCTTCACTAATCATTTTCAAACGATTATTAGTGAGAAACAGGGTAGACAAACTAGGGCATATGGATCTTTCTACTAGATTCTCAATCTGATTAGCCATTAGTGACATCCTTTTCGCACCTTTCCATGTTTCGAAATTGGGTGCTTCAATCAAATGAGCACCTGTATGCACCAGGAAATTCTCCTTGGCCTTCCCACATTCACAAGCCAACCATATTGCCGTGTCACGAATCACATCGTGCATTCTCACATAATCTTCTCTACCTTCCAATAAACATGCATTAACCAGAGTACCTATAATATCATACCCTTGGTTTTGAGCTCCAGTTATGTCATCATACTCATCCAAAATTTCCTCACCAACCCAACAATATATTAATCTTCTTTTGTGAATGAGAAAATCTTCTGGAAATAATGCACAATATAAGAAGCAAGATCTAACTTTCTCGCTAGGTAGATTATCATAACTAAATTTCAAAAGAGGGAATACCTCATCTCCCATACCTGAAAATTCAGAGGCAGATCTTTTTAGAACTTGAATTGCATGATTCCATTCTTGGGGTGTCTTCTTGCAAGCCATGGCCCGACCAATTGTAATTAGAGCTAATGGCAAACCGTCACACACTTTGGTGACGATTTCTGCTAGTTTAGGGATATCTGGATGAATATAAAGTGTTTCTTCACCCACCTTCTCTTGAAACAAAGCCCATGCTCTGTCCCATGCCAAACACTCCACCTTAATCTTTTTTTGAGCCCCCATAAGGATACACACCTCCTCAGAGCGAGTTGTGAATACTAGCTTGGACTTATTCTGTCTGTCGGGAATAGGAACCCTAAGTTTGGCTAAATCAACCCTCTCCCATATATCATCCAATAGCAATGCAAATTTCTTTGATTTTAAGACCCTGAAAATGTCTTCAGCTTTTCTAAGGTGATCTTTATCCTTCCATGTGTCATCACAACACCCTGTCTTTTCCCCAATGCTATCTTGAATATTTTCAAACTTTAGGTCCTGCGAGACCACCATCCAAATCACAAGATCAAAATCATTGGGGGTATGGAGGAAGTTATTGTTGATCTTGGTCAAAAGGGTAGTCTTACCTACACCTCTCATGCCATACAAGCCAATAATTCCCATATTTCGCATATTCCAACCAAAAGAAGTGGTATTTATCTGAGCTAAATATGGTAATTTACATTTGCTAAATCGTTTAATACTTCAAGTAGTAACTCAAAACTGGATAACAAAATTGAGTTCAAAATTCAATGTTCACCGTCTTGATCGGTTTTGTAAGATCACCAAGTTGAGTATGCTGAGTGTTTTCGCACTGGTAGAATTCCAGTGTTTCAAGTGAAGGGCATCTAGAAAGGAGGTCCGTGACTAGCCCATTCAAATCAACATAAGAAAAACTAAGCTCTTTTAGGCAACAAAACCTCCTCCCCTCTTGAACCAAAGCTTGGTCCAAAACACAATGGCTTAAACTCAACACAACTAAGGACCCAACATCATGCCAAACAAAGTGTAGAGATTTGTGTAAAGATTTTCTGGTTTAGAATTCTTTCTTATGTCTTTCATTACTTACAATCAACACATATATATACAAGTTCCTAAGCCCCCCAAGTTAGGCAACCAACCACGTTAGGCAACCAACCTAGTCAAGCCCCCCAAATATTGTAGGTGCCAAACATAGTAGGTGCCAAACATTAATTGACTACATAATCAACACATTAATTGACTACATAATTAACACATTAATTGACTACATAATTAACACTCCCCCTCAAGTTGGTGCAAAGCTGTCACGCATGCCCAACTTGTCAATAGACTCATTGAAAACTCTACTTGATACTGCCTTTGTCAGAATATCAGCCAGTTGATTTTCTGAGTTTACGAACGGAAACTTAATCATCTTTTTTTCCAGTTTTTCTTTGATGAAGTGTCGATCGACTTCCACATGTTTAGTACGGTCGTGTTGTACTGGATTATGTGCTATCTCGATGGCAGCTTTATTGTCACAATATAGGTTTGTGGCATTCACTTGTTTAATGCCAAGATTCTTTAGCAATCTTCGCAACCAAAGCAATTCACATACTCCTTGAGCCATTCCTCTAAACTCAGCTTCAGCATTGGATCTTGCTACAACTCTTTGTTTCTTACTCCTCCAAGTAACTAAGTTACCACCCACAAATGTAAAATATCCAGAAGTTGAGCGTCTATCCGTGATACACCCTGCCCAATCAGCATCAGTGTATCCTTCAAGATCCATGTGTGTATGTTTGGAGAACATCAATCCTTTTCCAGGGGCAGTCTTCAAGTATCGCATTATCCGTATTACTCCATTCATGTGAGCTTCACTTGGTTGATGCATGAATTGGCTTACCATACTCACAGCATAAGCTATGTCAGGGCGTGTGTGGGATAGATAAATCAATCGCCCAACTAACCTTTGATACCTTTCTTTATCAGTAGGAGCTTGATCTGGATACATTCCCAATTTGTGATTCTGTTCAATAGGTGTGTCAGCTGGCTTGCAATCCAGCATTCCTGTTTCTGTCAACAAATCTAACACATACTTTCTTTGGGATAGAAATATGCCATGTTTAGATCTAGCAACCTCAATGCCAAGAAAGTATTGTAACTCACCCAGTTCCTTCATCTCAAATTCACTTCCAAGGAGCTTCTGTAGATTATGCATCTCTTCATTGTCATTACCGGTAACCACCATATCATCTACATAGATGATCAGGGCCGTAAGCTTTCCACCACGACGCTTTAAGAACAATGTGTGATCTGAGCTACTCGGAGTGTACCCAAATCGCTTCATGGAATCAGTAAATCTCCCAAACCAGGCTCGGGGTGATTGCTTTAGCCCATACAGAGATTTTCTTAGCTTGCATACGGTATTAGGACCGGATGTCATAGGAATCCCTGGTGGTGGATCCATATATATTTCTTCTTGTAAGTCCCCATGAAGAAAAGCATTTTTTACATCATATTGCAGTAGTGGCCAGTCAAGATTTGCAGCCAAGGATATGAGAACACGTACAGTATTGATTTTGGCAACTGGTGCAAACGTCTCCTGGTAGTCAATTCCATATGTTTGTGTATATCCCTTGGCCACTAATCGAGCTTTGTATCGGTCTATGGATCCATCAGCTTTGTATTTAACAGTGTATATCCACCGACATCCAACTGGTTTCTTCCCATGTGGTAAAGGAACCATTTCCCATGTAGAATTCTTTTTCAAAGCTTCCATTTCAATTGCCATTGCTTCAATCCATCTAGAATCTGTCACAGCATCCTGCCACTTACTTGGAACACATACAGTAGATAATTGATTGACAAATGATGCATATGACTTTGACAATCTATGAGTGGACACATGGTTATTGATGGGGTATTTAGATTTAGCATTAAGGTCAGGGCAATATTGAGGTTTAGGTTTTCCCCTAGTGGATCTAGGTGGAAGTATATATGGTGCAACATTAGGTGGCTCAGTGATTACCTCAAGTACTTCTTCATCACTAGACGAATGATGCGATGGCAGGGCAGGAGGGGTTGTATTTTGTAGTTGATCATCAGGGGCATCTGGATCACCTTCTGGTTCCATAGTCTCAAGGTCTTCACTGAGGTCAGAACTGAGAAGATCAAGATCTTCAGGATTTTCAACTCTGTGAAAACGCGACTGGTCGCTGGATTCTTCGTGACTGGTCGCCTCATGCACTTCTCCATTTTTTTCAGTATATTTTTCGATCGTCTCTTCAAATGATGAGTCCTTCTCTTCACTCCCCCTCTCCCCCTGAAGAGAAGGGGTCTTGGAAACCACAAAGTAGGCCAAATCTTCATGAAAAGTGGCATCCATAGTGACAAAGAGCTTTTGAGTAGGAGGATGGTAACACTTGTATCCTTTTTGATTCAAGCCATATCCAACGAACACACATCGGAGGGCACATGGATCCAGCTTACTCCGTTGATGAGAAGGAACATGAGCATAAACAACACAACCGAACACACGAGGAGGCAACTTAAGGATGGTAGGAAGAGAGATGTGATGAGCCAAGGTATCTAGTGGAGTTCGGAAATCCAGAACACTACTAGGCACTCGATTAATCACATAGACTGCAGAGAGAAGAGCATGACCCCATAAGTGGTGAGGAACTGATTTATCAAGCATGTAGGCACGGGCAACTTCAAGTAATTGGCGATTCTTCCGTTCGGCGACACCATTTTGTTGTGGAGTGAAGGGTGTGGAGGTTTGATGGATGATGCCTTGGTCCTTGAAGAATTGAGCCAAGGCACCATTTACATACTCCCCACCATTGTCGGACCGGAACACTTTGATGGATGCTTGGAACTGAGTGGTGATCATAGCATGGAATTCCCGGATTGTGGTAGTAACATCACTTTTATGGGCGAGCAAGTACACCCATGTCATGCGGGTGCAGTCATCTATAAATGTAACAAACCATCTTTTGCCATTAGAAGAGATTTTAGCAGGACCCCAAACATCAGAGTGAACCAACTCAAAAGGAAATTCTGTTTTATTATCACTTGTGGGAAATACGGCACGATGGCTTTTGGCCAATACACACGTTTCACACTGAAATTTTTGATCAACTAGACCTCGAAATAAAGATGGAAACAACCGGCGAAGATAAGCAAAAGATGGATGTCCTAAGCGACGATGCCAGAGCCAAATCTGTTGGTGAGCATGTGAGTTTGGAACATGAGTATGAGCGGCACGTGGTGGTGGCGGTGGTGAGACTGTCAAAGAATACAACCCCCCTCTCCGTTTACCATGCCCAATCGTCTCGTGAGTCAAAAGATCCTGAAATGTACAATGAGAAGGATAAAAGGTGGCATAACAATTATGTGAATCAAGTAATTTTCCAACTGATAATAAATTGCAATTAATAGACGGAACTAAGAGTGTATGGGGTAAAACTAGAGAAGGGGAAAGTGATATGGTCCCTTCTCCAGCAACATTAGAAGGGACCCCATTGGCACTAGTAATGTAAGGATGGCGGGACTGAGTAGACAGTTTAGAAAAAAGGTTAGAGTCAAAAGTCATATGATCAGTGGCACCAGTATCAATTATCCATGTAGTGGGATGCGTACCTGAGTTGGGGTTGGAGTTAGAGAGCAAGGCAGGAGACGGGGATGCATCGGTAGTCATGACACAAGCAGCTTTGGGTGTCATATTGCGGGTCTTGTGTGTATCCCACCACTCAGGATAACCATGAAGTTTAAAGCATTTTTCGACAAGGTGATCACCACCACAATGGGTACATTTTCGAGTTCCTTTTGCATCATCAGGTTTAAGGCCACGAGGGGGCAGCCCAGAGGATGCACGGTGGGGTGCCCGATAGGGCTTGACTGCCATGGCACTGCTACTTCCAATCATGGAGGATTGGCGACTATCTTCCTCCATCACAAGTGCATAAGCTTCAAGGACAGGTGGTATTGGGTTCATAGCAAGGATCCGGCTACGGACTGAATCATATTGAGGATCGAGTCCTCCCAAGAAATCGTACACTCGATCGGCATCGAGTGCTTGTTGGTGAAGCGCCACACCATCAGGATTGGTGTGCTTACAAGGACGAAGGACGTCGATTTCCTGCCAAATTAGATGCAATTTTTCATAGAAAACACTCACAGGCTCACCATTCTGAGAGGTGGTGACTGACTGACGGCGGAGCTGGTACAACTTAGAGCTATTCTGAGTAACAGTATAGGTTTTCTGAGCTGCTTCCCACACCTTACAAGCTGTTGGGCAGTGATCAAATAAGGCACGAACATTCTTGGTCATGGAGTTGAGGAGCCATGACTGCACCAAACAATTGTCTTCATCCCAAGTGTCATAGCTGGGGTCATCAATGGCAGGGGCAGATTTTTTACCATTAATGAAACCAGCCATACGCCGACTTGTTATGGCCAAACGAACACTACGAGACCATGCAGAGTAGTTGGACCCATCCAACTTATCTGGAGTGATTTGAGAAGGGTAGTCGTGAGAGGAGCGGACTGGTGGAGTAGAGGAGTTAGCCTTGGAGGAGTCGGAGGCGTCACCCATGAGATAAGTCGGGATAAGTATATGCAGCGGAAGGATAAAACAACCAAGGGAACTCAACACAAGTTTTGTGTTGGAACAATATAGGAGCAAATAAGTAAAGGCAAGATTAAGTAGAGGCAAGGTAAGGCAAGAATAAGGTAAGAACAAGGTAGAACAAGGTAAGAACAAGGTTATGCAGAGGCAACCAAAATCGATTGCTCTGATACCATGCCAAACAAAGTGTAGAGATTTGTGTAAAGATTTTCTGGTTTAGAATTCTTTCTTATGTATTTCATTACTTACAATCAACACATATATATACAAGTTCCTAAGCCCACCAAGTTAGGCAACCAACCTAGTTAGGCAACCAACCTAGTCAAGCCCCCCAAATATTGTAGGTGCCAAACATAGTAGGTGCCAAACATTAATTGACTACATAATTAACACATGTTAATTGACTACATCATTAACACATCAAAGCTTGCAGGAGGAAAACGATACCTTGGGACCCCGGCAACATAACTGAAGCGGAGATGTAGCTCTTTGACAAAGTGTTTGGTTACCAGCTTGATCCAACGGTCGACATTCCAGGCTTGGCTTTGCAAAGGAGCTCTCCCTCTCAGCCTAAAGTAATTGATTATCTTTTTCTGATCATCGTCATACTCATGGAGCATTCGCAGCGATTCGTCCAGTGCGGTGGCGGCAGACCTTTTCCTTTTAGGATACCGGCCTGCTTGATAATAATAAGAGATGGGTTGTCCCGTATCAGAATTGAAATCAAAATGGTAGGCTGGTAGTGAGCTCCATAGGGTTTGCCATGTTTTCGACACGAAGCTCATGCGGACAGCATCTTCATGGGCACGCAATCGACAGAGGATTTTCTGCACAATCGAATCCGGCAAATCCGATATTCGATTCAGAGGATACTCGATTGGATGAATGCTTGAATCATTTCTGCCTAGCCTAGTGAACATGGAGGAGAATACTCGAGGGTACCGGCCTAGCCCTAACTCTGCGAATTATGTCTCCCTCTCAGAGATGATGTGTTACTTGCGAGCCTTCTATATAGATAAAGATTCCTTTTCCTTCTTACTCATAGGAGCTGGATTGGGATACACTTTAATAACCCGCATCTCAATCCGATATTATATTTATATATGCATTATTGGAAAATTCTTAAATAAGTATTTTATGTTAAGGATCGGTCTAATGAATGCAATTCAACGGCCGAGATTAGAAATATTTAACTAATACTTAACTTAAGTTATTTAAGTTTTATATATATATATATATATATATTAAAAAATTCTAGATATTTAAGAAAGAAACTTGTCTACCCTGCACTGGGATTGTTTACCATTTCACTATTCTACAACTTTTGACAAAAGCTACGACTATTGCATTTATCATTTCCTTCTTTAGTAAAGATATATGTACACAAGGGAGCAATCATATCATGGCATGAAAGGAACACTAATACAGCAATTGCCAGTTATGTCAAAGCTTTAAATTTCTGAAGGAGGAAAGAAAATCATTTCGAGTAGCTTCCTTCTCCCATTCTAACTCATTCCACCAGTCTTCCTCTCCTTCGATGACGATATTACGTTTGCTTGCACCGGAATCCAGTGGGAGCTGCCTCAGTTGTGGACAGTTAAATACAACAATTGTCTTCAGATATGGAGACGGCAATGCATTTGCATATATGCTCTTCAACTGTGGCAGATTGATCAATATCAGGTTGTTAAGTTTTGCAAATGAACTCAAATCTTCTACCACCTCCTCAACTTTGCTCAATTGCCCACAGTTGATTATTTGTTCCATTTCAGGGCAGTCATGTATGTCTATAGTTACAAGATTTGGAGCAAAAATAAGCCATGTTAAGTCCTTTAGTTTGGGGCACTCATACACACTTACCCGCTGAAGGCTGTGGAAGCAACTTTTGATCATTGTGATTGAGTTGCAAGGACCGTTAGGTACTTGTGCAGCCGCTCCATCCTGAACCAAATCAAGTTTCAAATCTTCCATGCTTTCGCAATCACAAATATTAAGGATATCCAGACGTTTCATGTTTGTCAACGGCGATATGTCAAGGGAGCTCACAAAGGTGAAGGACTCAAGGCATAGAACTTGAGTGCAGGTCAGTAAATTGAGGGAGGTGAAGAATCTTTTGAAAGCAGAGACACACCTTATGGTGATAGTCAACACATCCAAGTGTTTCAAACACACCAATTCCTCTACTAAAGCTTCTTCTCCACCAAATAGAATATCATCTGATGAACCACAATCATACATTCTCAACACCCTCAGCATCAGAAAACTTGAAATTACATTCCTTGGAACCATATTCAATTTACTGGTAAACTCCAAGTTCAAATATTTGAGCTTGTCTAAGGCCTTCAACTCAATTGGCAAGTCTCTTATGCCCGTTTGTGATAGATTGAGATATTGTAGCGACTGCAATTTTGATATTCCCATTGGCAAATGAGTTATACCCTTGTTTTCTGACAGGTCCAAGACTCTTAAACTGGGCATATGCTGAAAGAAGCCTTCACTAATCATTTTCAAACGATTATTAGTGAGAAACAGGGTAGACAAACTAGGGCATATGGATCCTTCTACTAGATTCTCAATCTGATTAGCCATTAGTGACATCCTTTTCGCACCTTTCCATTTTTCGAAATCGGGTGCTTCAATCAAATGAGCACCTGTATGCACCAGGAAATTCTCCTTGGCCTTCCCACATTCACAAGCCAACCACATTGCCATGTCACGAATCACATCGTGCATTCTCACATAATCTTCTCTACCTTCCAATAAACATGCATTAACCAGAGTACCTATAATATCATACCCTTGGTTTTGAGCTCCAGTTATGTCATCATACTCATCCAAAATTTCCTCACCAACCCAACAATATATTAATCTTCTTTTGTGAATGAGAAAATCTTCTGGAAATAATGCACAATATAAGAAGCAAGATCTAACTTTCTCGCTAGGTAGATTATCATAACTAAATTTCAAAAGAGGGAATACCTCATCTCCCATACCTGAAAATTCAGAGGCAGATCTTTTTAGAACTTGAATTGCATGATTCCATTCTTGGGGTGTCTTCTTGCAAGCCATGGCCCGACCAATTGTAATTAGAGCTAATGGCAAACCGTCACACTCTTTGGCAACGATTTCTGCTAGTTTAGGGATATCTGGATGAATATAAAGTGTTTCTTCACCCACCTTCTCTTGAAACAAAGTCCATGCTCTGTCCCATGCCAAACACTCTACCTTAATCTTTTTGTGAGCGCCCATACGGCTACACACCTCCTCAGAGCGAGTTTTGAATACTAGCTTGGACGTATTCTGTCTGTCAGGAATAGGAACCCCAATTTTGGCTAAATCAACCCTCTCCCATATATCATCCAATAGCAATGCAAATTTCTTTGATTTTAAGACCCTGAAAATGTCTTCAGCTTTTCTAAGGTGATCTTTATCCTTCCATGTGTCATCACAACACCCTGTCTTTTCCCCAATGCTATCTTGAATATTTTCAAGCTTTAGGTCCTTAGAGACCACTATCCAAATCACAAGATCAAAATCATTGGGGGTATGGAGGAAGTTATTGTTGATCTTGGTCAAAAGGGTAGTCTTACCTACACCTCCCATGCCATACAAGCCAATAATCCCCACTTGCTCTTCTTCAAGGTAACCCCAAACCTTGCCAAATGTTGAGTCCATGCCCACAGTTGGTTCAGTACTTCTTTCATACACTATAGCTGCAGGTACCCTTTCAGCCACAACTTCAAAAACTCCCCTCCTCTGCAAAGTATTCACTTCTACCAACAATTTAGTCAATTTTTTCCCAACCTTGTATTGGGTTTTGCAGTTACTGAATAACCCACCTCCAAATTTACACAATTTCTCAACTTTTTGAGTGCTATTATCTTTATCTCTTACCAAGTTACTGACTTTAGCTTCCATGGCTTCCACTCTTGATATCCATCTCTGTACTTGGTCTAAGCGTTTCAAATGCTGTTGCTGCTCAGCATTCTCAACCCTTCTCTGCACATCATTCTTTTGATCTGCTAATTCTTCTATAGCAGTTTGCAGATCATGAAGGTTGGATTTCAGCATGCATGGGTATGCTGCTTGCCCAACAGTGCAATCCCAGCAGCCAGAAAGAATGCCATCACATGATATAGAGATTGAGAAGATGTTGCCCATTATTAATTCTCTCAGAACTTAGATTTGTTTCTAGCTAAGAGAATGAAGGGAGATATTTAGCCAAAAAATTAATTTGGAAACTGATGAGAGCAAGTCAATCCAGAATTGATGGAATTATACTGTAGATCCAACTTGGAAATATCCAATCTCATGACCATTGACCAGTGCCACTGCCACCCATTCAGATAATAAGATGTGGCATGTAACACGTTTTCATCCTACTCAACAAAGCACTATGAACTTTTTTATTTACATTTTTTGTTTTTATGTACATCTCTTTTTCTTTTGCCTTTTGATACAAGTCTATATGTGTAAATGCTAGAGTGTCTAGCCCTAATAGTAAAATGAACATGCAAAAGAGGAGTAGAGAAGAGTTGAGAGCTTTGAATTATTTAGGGTTGAAAGTTGTGAGAAAATTTTCATACTTATTTGGTTGATATTTGATTTTCAATTTCTTTTCGCTCTCGGATATACAAGTTTGTTGAACCACATAAATCCGTGTGTTTTCTTGCTTTTTGTTTCTCCTTGCTTCTTAAATTAGTTATATCTCCCATTTTCTTCTTCTTTTCTCCATAATTTGAAAACTTTGAAATTTAAGAATATTGGAGGTTTGAAGGTGAGTTGCACTAGCCGGAAATTGATCCCAAACCATTGGGAACCTACTAGAATTATTCAAAGAAGAATGTTAACAAAAATCAAGGGAAAATGTTTTCATTTCTTTTTCTTGGTGCTCGTGGGCACACTAGAGCACTCAAAGCTCCTAGCCTAAATTGAAAACTCAATTTGTTCTAAACAATTATCAGAATATAGGAGTCAATTTTAAGGAGCTCATCATAGATCCACCAAATAATTCCATTGAATAAGTTAGCGAGTGATAGAGTAAATGTGCTTCATACTATCTTGTTACTCAATGGTAAGATTATTTGCTTGCAATTTAATGGTCTCATAGGTTTGAAACATAATGACACCTATCCTTCCCATTACAAATATAGTGTGTGAATTCAATTCGATACATTCGACATTGACTAACTCATATTAAATCAATTAAGTATGAGATTCTCCAATAAGTATTTAAGTTAAAGATTGGTTACATACTTTTAATCTTAATCGTTGATTGCATCTAAGAAACTACAAACAAATTTAATAAATGCAATCCAACGGCCAAAATTAGAAGTATGTAAACAATCATTAACATAAAATACTAAGTATTCAGATCACATTTACTAAAGTGAATCCAATCTCTATTGCAAGGAAAGCTTTTGGTTGGTTAAAAAATCTCAGCAGGGCAAAACAGAACTTTCGCGAGGTTACAAAATTGCCCATGAATTTTTTTTTGGGAGTTTCACTAAAATACCCAAAATGGGGGCTGAAATTATAAAAATACCCAACACTCAAAACACTTTATAAACATACCCAAAACTCATCATTACACACACTCAAAACCCATTTATAAACATACCCAAAACCCATCATTACACACATACCCAAAACCTATTTTGGGTATGTTTCTATGTTTAAATAATGCTTGGGTATTTTTATAAATACATGTCTAGGATTGGGTATTTTTATAAATATCTATTTTTTTTTTATTATAGGAATTTTGCCCAAGAGATTCGATTAATTAATCAGTGAGGAAAGTCATAACCTCTCCCTGCCCGCCCGCCCGCCTGTTGCCGGAAGAGGAGGCAGAGTGAGGAAGAAGAGAATCAATGGCGACGCCACCGATGGCACCGCCGAGCATGGAGGGCACTCCGCCGCCCATGGCAGTACAGCCACCGGGCACGGACATGACCGGAATATGCTTCAAGGACCAGCTATGGCTGAACTCGTATCCTCTCGATCGCAATTTGGTCTTCGATTACTTCGCTATCTCTCCTTTCTACGACTGGACCTGCAACAATGAACAGCTTCGTCAACGCTCCATTCACCCCCTCGACCCCTCTCACCTCTCGTAAGTAAAACCCACCTCCCCAATTTTTGGAAATGTTCTTCAGCTTTTGCCTTTTCTAGTGAATTTTAGGTAGCTAGGGTTTCTGAAATTTTTTGGGAAGATTATATTAGTGTCCTGTATGTTGGACTCTTCTGGAGTTAGAATAAGTGAATTTGTGTGACATTTGTAGTGGTTAAAGCTAAAGGGCCGTGGAAGTTTAGGGATTTGAAAGAAGAGGTTTAAGAAACATTACTGCGTGGTATTTGTGTGTTCTACATTGGCATGATCATTAAAAAGAAGAGGTTTTTAATGTTATTAGCAGAACCCAGTTACAAATTATTTTGGTTGTATGGACTATTGAAACCTGACTAGGTTAATCGACGGAGCAATTTGAATAGATATAGATATAATAAGGAGCTACTTAAAATTGTGTGGTTTCGTTGGCATCACCCCACTCAACCAGAATGCTGATTGTTCATATGGCTATTGTGGTTGACCCCATATGGTTGGGATTAGGCACAGTTCATGATGGTTAGTTGATTGGTTTACAGGAAAATGACAGGCACTGAATACTCGCTGAATGAAGTAATGGAGCCACACCTTTTTGTTTTCCGCAAGCAAAAGAGGGATAGTCCGGAGAAAGTTACACCGATGCTGACTTATTATGTCTTGGATGGTACAATTTACCAAGCACCACAGCTTTGCAATGTTTTTGCAGCTCGAATTGTAAGTTTTTTCTTCGGAGTGGTTTAAACAAATTAGGACTTAACTCAATGGCATTTGCCTAGCGGGGCCATCAGAAAATCATAAAAGATTATCTTCGAGTAATTTCAAATTTATGCTTGAAGTCCTTGTATGAACCTGTGCTTAGTTATTGTTCTGTCTAGTATCTAAGTTAAGACAGCGCATGCCATCCATTTGTTGGATAGTGGTACTATTATCTGGTGTGTTCATAGATCTTGGGATTAATATTTCAAAGGAAAATCTTTATTCATTCTGATTGTCTGTCTACACATGTTGCAGGGACGTGCTCTCTACTATATATCTAAGGCTTTTACCACTGCTGCCTCGAAGCTGGAAAAGATTGGATACGGTATATTGAGTTCCATTTTCTTCTATTGCTTAATTATATAAGTATGAGCTTAAACAAATGATAATATGTCAGTCAGTGGGAAGGGTTCTCAACAGTGTTTTTGTTGTTACAGCAACAGTAACTTACTTTTGTTGGTATTCCATAAAAGTTTATGGGAAGGGTCTAGTCATATCAGTTGATTTTCATATTACATCTCAAGCTTGAAAGTTGAAAATTGAAATGCCTTGCAAAACCATGATGTTTCCCAAATTCTCATGGTTTGATTAGTTTTACCATGTGCTTGTTATGTGGCTTTAGGTGTCTTTGAGAGTTACGAGTAATAGAGGCAAGTTCAATCATGATAAATCACTATATTTTAGCTCATCAAAGTAGTATCATGCAAAACAGATTAGTTCAAAATGAACACTTCATTGGTTTAGTTTTGGCAAGAAAAGAGTTGGAATAGGGCTTAATAGCATACTAAATCATACAACCACCTCTTGTTGTCCAACCTTTGCTTTCAAGTTCTAGGGACGTGTATTCAAGTTATCAATTTTCCTGAAGTGCAGTATCCATTACTGGTTTGCTTTTGTGTTTCATGAGAGATTTGTTTAAGGAACACAATAATCTTGGACACTAGGGATGTACATGGGACAGTTCAGATCAGATTTTAGGTCAAATTCCAACCAAATTGACCTCGGGGAGTTGATAGATTAAAAAACCAATGCCAACTCAAGCTCTGTACAAACCAATCGAATCCAAGAATTTGTTGGATTAGTTTGGGCTGGGTTGATATGTATGCAACTATGCCTGGATCATACTGCTCTCTGATCAGTGATCACAGTTCATCTTGGTTGAATTCTTGAAACCATACCCTTTTAAAGATGGTCTCATATAGTATCATGCATATAAGGATGATTGGTGAATGCAATGCTAAAAACCTTCTGCATATTGTGCACAATTGAAATATGAGAAGGCTAGTTTGTGCATGTCCATTTTCCATATGTTTAAGTGGTTGCTTTTTTGTGTGTCACTATGAGTTCAATGTTCATGGTTTTAATTTGTTCACATTTTTTGATGCAGTTGATTCTGAAAATGAGGCTGCAGCCTTTGAATCAAAGGTTACCAAAGAGACAATTGACTTTAAGGAAGTAAAGCGAGTGGACCATATTCTTCAATCCTTACAGCGCAAGGTAATTATGCATAGTATTGCTACAAATATTATCCCATGCTCCTATATTGAAATGAATAAATTTCATGGCACTAAAGCAATGGATGAATGTTAATATGATGGATGACAATGTGCAAGACGATCAAGATTGCTTTGCAGTTAATGTACTGAAGGCTATTCTGGGAAGGGAAACTAGTGATTTTTATCTCATCACAAATGTATCACTAGGAATAACTCCTAACAATCACTCTGTTTATGCAGCTACCGCCAGCCCCACCACCACCGCCATTTCCAGAAGGCTATGTTCCCGCTCCCACTGCAGAAGCTGAGAACGGCCCTGAAACCCAGCAAGCTGGAGAGCCCCAACAACCTCAGATGGATCCTATCATTGATCAAGGCCCGGCTAAAAGAATGAAATTTTAGAGTAGAGTTTCCAATTCTGCATCCTGTTAAGAGTAGAAAACTATGTATAACACTGAAGCTACTACCCATTTGACAAGAATGGATACTTATTTTGCAACTTTGACAGAGTATCAACCAATCTCTATTGTAACTTTATAACTGAAGATTCTGAGTTTGCCTATTACCAGTACTCAGAATGCTTAGGTAGGGTCGTACGATGCTGTTTAGATATGTAACATACTGACATGCTTAAATGAAAATGGCTTTTGTACAAGATATTACTCATGTATGAATGGAACATTATTGTTACTTTCTAGCAGTCCTCGTATCCTTAAATAATTCTGTTAGATATTTTTTTAAACATTTAAGGTGGAAATTTAGCTTAATTCAACAATAGTTCAAAGACAATTATTTCATATAACCTAAGGCCAAACCCAAAAAATCCTAAATTTTAGCCCAATTTCTCCCTCAATTCAAGAAAAGTAAGGGGTTAAAATTTAAAAAAACCCAAACTTGGACCAAATACCAGTCTAGCAGCCATTGCCTGGATTGGAATTTTTTTTGGTGAAGGCCACACAGTCATGAAGCAACCCATGTGCAAGGAGGAAACACTAGGGGCTGGGCTGGTTGTGCTTTAGAAGCTGTGGCACCAAGTGTCGTTCGCCGGTGTCACATCACTTTTTATTTTCTTCCTTTTTTCTAATATTTTGTGTTAATGTCAGTTTCAACTTTCATTTTAACTGCCACTTGTCGCATGCAAATGAGCAGAGCCGGTGAAAATATTTGTGTCTTTGCCTTTTCCTTTTACTCCATATGGACATATAAAATAAAGTGACCATAGCAGGAACATATATATATATACTTTGGCCTGTAAAATGACTCGCCCGACAAATCTGATTAAAGAGATTTGTTGAAAATGAGAGGTAAAGGCATGCGTGCCGACCGTGAAAACATGAAGGAAAACCATCTCGTGATTTGTCATGCAAAGAGGAAAGACTCCGTAATCCAAAAAAGGATGAGTCGGTCCTGAATTGAACACATGTCCAAATAGCATAACAAGACTATTGCTTATAAATTTCCTTTCCCCATAATTTTTCTTGTCAACATCTTGGAACCACTACTCGGCCTCAATGATGTCCGTTCGAGTGTCACAACTCACACTCACATTTAAATAAATTGCACGGACGATAGGTAAAACCTATGCTCATAATATCAAACACCTTTTGTCCAAAAAACAATCTCAAGGACAAGCACCTGGCCGACGTTGTCGTAATGCAAAATAGTGGTAGTTCGTAAGGCAAAAGTCATTGTCTTCAATCACACACCCAACACAAATATCACTACCAGATCTATTTTTTTGGTGAAAACCAAGGTATCCCCCGCGCGATTGCGGGGACTAACCCTCGAGGTACTGTCGGGCGCAAGGTGGGGACCTCTCCCAACAAAGTCTGCTCTATTCGCAAGCGACTGAGATCGAACTCAGGACCTCTTATTTAAAGGATCCAAGCCCCTTCCACTTGGACCAACTCCTGTTGGTACTACTAGATCTATTTTCAGTGTGGATTGCAAATGCTTTTTGAAGGACCTATTTGTGAAGAACCCAACTTTAAAAACAACGTCTAGACTCAACTCTTTATAAAAATTCGATTCCGTCCTACGTGCCCGTAGTAAAGTAAATGACAGAGAAAATCTAAATTGAGTCTGACTAATCTACCACAAAGACTTTTGTAACCTAATCTAAGATATAATTTATCATGCATGCATGAACTTACCCAAATTGGTTAGAACGAATGTGCTTTCTTATGTACTTGAGTTCGAATCCCACTCCAGGTAATTTATATTAGATTAAAGTAGAATGCCACTTGTATTAAAAATATATATATATATATAAAATAACTCGAAATTTAACTAAAAGTTGAAAATTTAAGAGGAGAAATTGACAATTCTCTTGTTTGGCAATTTAAGCATGGAATTGATTAAATGACACGCGGAAAAAATCGTGGAAATTAGGGCATCAAATTCCTGAGTTTAATTTCCACCAAAATAGGTGTCCCCGTTTTGTTTGGGATCCGTACAAATAAAGTGGGAAAAAGTTTGACATCATCCCATCAAGCATGGGCAATGCTACAATCGAGCTATCAATTATTCATGAAATAATAATAATAAAATTATGGAATTCAACCAAATAAAATACCTAAATTAATATATGATGGACAGGCGTGCATGAAAACATGAAGTCATCAACCACCGGACCGGTCAAGGCCGAGGCCAAGGAGCATGAAATATTATTGATGGTCGAATGGTAGGTAGGTAAGTTAGCTTTTTTCAAAATAATTTCAGGAAAGTCAACCCACAGCCACAACTTTTTAGTATATATCTATATATGCATCAAATGAAACGAGAGGCTGAAGAAGAACACTGAAACTAAATTATTCTCCAAAAAACATAATTAATTTTTCAAAAAAAAAAAAATAATATATATATATATATATATATATATATATATATATATATTAGGAAACAAAACTTGAACTCTGATGGCTACGTGGCGACGTGTAACCCTACAGCCAATGTACTACAGGTGTCTCTTTCTCTTTGTGGAGCTCATGAAACTACACGCCGACGAATACAAGCTCTTAACAGCTGCCACTCTTACACTTGTCGCGATCTCACAGTCCCAGCAGCCACACGCCGCGATTCGCAGCTGGACGCGTGACACCCACCAGACCAGAGCCACTAGCAAGAACGGCAGTGAAAAAGAGTAATCGCCTAGTAACGACAACACGCGCGCTGCCGTAGGTGGTGGTGCTGCGTCACGTCCAACGCAAGGCTGACTCAGCCCTGACAGAACCCCGTGGGTCCCACAAGGTGGATTATTTTTTAAATATTTATCAATTATTTCTGCTGTCTCTGTTTATTTTTTGGGTGCATTTTTGCTCACCACTTTAATCGTAAGTGTACCATCACCACTATCATCAATGTTTGACACGTGTTCATAAACATAACCATAGTTAACTTTTGCTTTGTATTTATAGAATCATGATTACACCTATAAACAGTGTAAAGCATTGAGAATGGTGGTGAGAGTACACCTATAATTAAAGTGGTGAACAAAAATGCTCCCTTATTTTTTTCTTTTCTGCTTTTACTTGAGTTGGAGTTAAAATAATATTTTGTAGTTTGACCTCTGCTTTTACTTGCTGTCTCTGTAAATATTGCAAGGAAGGAAGCAAAAAAGTTTTGTGAATTTTCAGGGAAGGACATGAGACCTCCGAATTGTCAGGAAAGGACTCTCCGGCCAACTATAAATACTTATCACTTTCCAAGCCACAAGATGCCACCACTGCCCAAATTCTGTGGTCAAACTGGTTTATTTTTTTCTTCATTATTTTGGGTTCAATATTTTCCTCTGTTTTCTTGGGTTTCTCTGCTGCTTCAGGTTTGATTCAGGATGACCATCCTCATTGAGCAGCCTGAATTTGGTACATTATTAATTCCCACTTCCTAGTTTTTTTATTATTTTATTTTCTTATATTTTTGTAAATTAATTTTCTTCATTGTTGATCATGAATTTCCAAGTTGGTATTCTCTATTTTTAGTTTTTTTTTAATATTTATTTTTATCCTTGTTCATCTGGGGCAGTTTGGTTTGGTGGGATCTTTTGGGATTTTCAGTGTGAAAAAAATAATATTTATTTTCATTAATGATTCCTTTAAAATATGTGACATATATATATATATATTTATATATGATTTTTCTCTGATTTAAAATCACAGGAGTTGAAGTTGGAACTGAGGCAGGGGAGAAAAAAGTGTTTGATGATGGATTATTTGTGGTGCCACATACCAACTCATTTGGACAGACATTTAGGTTATACACTTTTGCATACATAAATTTATTTTATATGTACCCTTCAGGATTAAATCTATAGAGATCTGAATTACGACCGGTTTGCCATGAACACGACAAACACGACCCGTTTGCCAGTCTAGATATGATATGATATGATATGAGATGATCTGATCTAGAGTAGGAGCTATTATGGATGGTCTCCTTATGTTATAAGTTATTTTTCTTATCATCTACAAGTAAAATTCACTATTAAAATGTATACGACCACTTAAATAATTATTGATCATAAATGAGACAAAAAGACCTGGTAATTTGATCCCCTTGAAGCTGTGCCTTTTTCTCAAGAATTTTGGAAGAAAAAGAGGAAAATGATAAAAAAGAACAGAGATTGGGAAATCTGGACACCAAGGTTTCAAAGCATTTGCTTTCACTTTCATTTCTAATTACCCAACTAAAATGGTCAAAAACAAAATCTTTCCTATGATGGCAAAGGAAAACCCAAACGAAAGAAAACCTTTCCCAGCATGGAAAGACATGGGTTCTCATCATTAGCTCAAGCAACAGAAATAGTGAAGGTCTATTTGTTCATCTTATTTTTGACCAACCAAGGCTTCTTGTGCAGCTCTCTGTGCTGGGCCTCTGGCCAGGCCCATACTTTTGCCTTCAACAAAAAGTTCTGTCTTGTTTTGGAAATTCATTGAATTTTTTCCCCTCTGCATTGAATTATCAATTAAATTTAGTTATTAATAATTTTACATGGATTGAAAAACAGGGATTATGATGCAGAAGGTGAGAGGCAACCAAGTGTGGAGATTTTCTACCAGATAAATCACATCAACCAGTCTTATGACTTTGTAAGTAACTTTCCCTAACATCACTATACTTCATTTTCGTGACACCATTTTACTTCCTAGGTATGAGAAAAGATTGAAACATATCTATTTTCATTTGCATCTGCCTTGGTAAAACCAAATATTTATTACAAAAAAAATGTAAAACAGGTTCAGAGAATGAGAAAAGAGTACAGCAAATTGAACAGGGTGGAGATGAGCATATGGGAATGCTGTGAGCTTCTGAATGAGGTTGTGGATGAGAGTGATCCGGACTTGGACGAACCTCAAATCGAGCACTTGTTGCAAACAGCTGAAGCCATTAGAAAGGACTATCCCAATGAAGATTGGCTGCACTTGACTGGCCTTATCCATGGTATTAATATCTTCAATATTTTATGTTCTTCTGGACTTCATACCAGTAAGTGAAGTAAGTTGCTAATTTGATCCTTTATGTGCTTTTAGATCTTGGGAAGGTGCTTCTTCTTCCTAGCTTTGGGGAGCTTCCTCAATGGGCTGTTGTTGGTACGAATCAAATTTCATGCCTCACACTTTTGTTATATTATGCAGAAATATATTTATATATTTTCAACTTCAAAATTACAAATCCTGATCCTTATTTCAGGTGACACATTCCCAGTTGGCTGTGCTTTTGACCAAGCCAATGTTCATCACAAGGTACTTTTATCATAAGTTTATCTACTACAAACACTCAAAAAAATGTATATACAATTTAATTGGCTGATCAAACATTCTGTTCATGACATTGCTATTGCAGTATTTCGAGGAAAATCCTGACTACTATAATCCTGCTTACAACACCAAATTTGGAGTTTACTCAGAGGGATGTGGACTCGAAAATGTAATGATGTCGTGGGGGCATGACGACTACATGTATTTGGTATATTTTCTAACCGAGATCATGTAACCCTTTAGACAGTATAATCAAATACTTTTGGTATTCATACAATAAATTTTTTATTCAGGTGGCCAAGGAGAATAATTGCACTCTACCCTCAGCAGCTCTGTTCATCATTAGATACCACTCATTCTATGGTCTGTGAGATAATAGAAAAGCACTATAAATTTTACCCCTAAAAGAAATATAACTCATTGTGTGAGTAATTTGACTGTGATGAAATCTTTTTGAAATTGCAGCTTTACACAAGGCAGGAGCATATAAGCACTTAATGAACGAAGAGGATGTCGAAAACCTGAACTGGCTTCACGTATTCAAGTAAGTGTTTAATTCCTGGGTTTTAAATTCATGCTCTTTGTGCTTCACCTTTCATTGATTTCTCTGTTGGTCTAAATGCTTAATGTCACTCTGCATTTTAATTTTTTCCATGCAGCAAGTATGACCTTTACAGCAAGAGCAAGGTACGGATTGATGTTGAGAAGGTGAAGCCATACTATCTCTCTCTCATTGAAAAGGTAAGCATGCACAACTTGATTTCATTTGGTTAAACATCCTCTTAATTATTTTCTTCTCCGCGTTAATTATTTGGCTCTCTAATTTTTTATTTAAACAATGCCTGTTGTGCAGTACTTCCCTTCCAAGCTAAGATGGTGAAACTTCCCAGCTCTGCCATTTGATGAGTAATGAGGGTGTATTATGTACCAGCACCTTGCTAACTAGCTGTACACAGAAGACGAAATTTCGAGTTTTAGCTGCATTTCCTTGTTATTTCATAAAAGTTTTCATGTAAAATTATCTGTCATGTATTGTGTATGTGAGCTATTCTTTAGATTGCTTAATAAAACTTCAGCATGGTGATGTGAGTGAGGCAACCGCTCCCCTTTCGCTCTGTGTCCAATTTTGTAGGCTAACTACCTCTCCCCTTTCGCTCTGTGTCCAAGTTTGTAGGCTAACTTCAGGTTCAGCAGACTTCACATTAGACTTCTAGCGCAAAAAGTTTAAAATAAAATAAAATCTAATTGCGGTGAACGTGGATCGAACACGTGACCTTCAGATCTTCAGTCTGACGCTCTCCCAACTGAGCTATCCCCGCTTTGCAAATTTTATGGGCCAAAACTAGATATTTAACTAGATATTACGGTTGACATTTGTTGCCTACATTGATAATTTATTCATAATATAAGGTTTGGGTGAAGTGGGCTGTTGATGTTGAGAAGGTGAATTGGGCGGGTGATGTTGATGTGTGTAACTTGTCCTCAAGTGGGCCGTTATATTCAGATACGTGCACCAAAATGTTCACATTTCATGAGTGGCAAAGTCGAAGTACGTACTACAATCAGGAGGGAAGACTTTTATTGTGGACAAGTTGGAAGGAAGACAAACCAGTAGCTGATTAGGGTCAACAATATCGACCCAAGCAAAATCTGTGTTCGTCACAATATCGAGGAAATTGTATGTAAAATGATCATATATATATATATATCAACTACAAAGCAAATTTGCTAAGTGTTTCCCGAGCACAACAATGTGGCGGACATTGAAGCATTTCCTCCTCTTTGCACTGCAGCTTGGTGGTTTTGCTCTCAATCTCATGCTCCTTGTTCATTGCCAAGATGATCAATCAGGTATGACTATATTTTATATTATATATATACACACCTCTGCAAGAGAAAATAAATAAAAGATATTTAGTCATATATCCATTCTTAGCACTAAAACTATAAATTAACCCTACACCATTAATTTCTACAAAAAAACAAAAACAAAAACCCAAAAAATGATAGTTGGCCCTATTGAATTTTGATTATTAAATTACTTTGATGCCCTATTGAGTGTTTTGGGCTTTTTTATGAGGTTTTGTGGTTGAGTTTGTTTTAAGAAATCAATGACATGTTTGTAATTTAAAAGAAGTTAAAAGCCTCTTTGTTATGTTGTAAATGAGCTTTAAATGTGTTTCTAAAGCCCATTTCATATAGGGATTTTTTTAAGGCTAAATTATTGAAATGACCCTTATAACTCAATTTCAGTATGAGTTTCCCCCCTGAAACTCTAAGTGTCTCACTTTCCCCCATGAAACTCAATATATTGTCTCACTTTGCCTATATTCTATCCAGCCCTAACAAAAGTCGAAAATTGGGGAAACAGTGATGGGGACGTTGTTGAGTGAGACTCTAGGGTCATAGGCCAAAGTGGTGACGGAGAGAGAGAGGTCAGATAGTAAAGTTAAGATCTTGGCGCAGAAAGGCAGGGACTTGAGGGATCGGAGAGAGAAATAAAGGGGGATGATGTGGAATTGCAGGAGGTTTAGCGGTGGCTGACCAGAGTGAGAGAAGGCGGTGTCAGTGGGGTCCAAGATGGTGAGAGAAGGAGACTGGGAGATGAGGAGGGTTTGAGAGGCGAGGTCGAGGGTCAGAGCCATGGAGGTGTAGTCGAAATCTGAGAGGATTTTGGCGGCGTTGACGAGGGTTTGGGTGGGGAGGGCGTAGGAGAGAGAGAGAGAACTGAGAGGACGATGAGAGAGAGGAGTTGGGTTGCCGCCATTGTTGGAGGTTGTTCTTCATTTCTTGGAGTTTGGAGAGGGGTTTGGTTTTGCAAATGAGTCTGGGAGTAGTTGCAGATTCAGAGAGTATTTGAATTTGTTAGGGAAGGTTGTTTTTGGCGGGTTAAGATTTGACGACTTCTGTTAGGGCTAGATAGAATATAGGCAAAGTGAGACAATATATGGAGTTTTAGGGGGGAAAGTGAGACACTTAGAGTTTCATCAGGGGGGAAACTGAGACTGAAATTTGAGTTATAGGGGGCATTTCAATAATTTAGCCTTTTTTTAATTTATAATTTGGCTCCTATATTGGGTATAATAGTGAATCTCCCAATAAATAACAATTAACTTGGTTCTCTCTCTCTCTCTCATGTGGCAAATGCGGATGTGTGTCTCAGGTTTCATTAGCATTGATTGCGGCCTAGGAAAAAATTCTAGATATATTGAAAAGACAACAGGCATTCACTATATTTCAGATGAAAGCTTCATCGACGCCAATGAAAGTAGGGTTGTTATATTGAATGATCAACGAGATAAGATGCAGCCGTACTGGTCTCTTAGGGCTTTTCCAAAAGGAACTCGGAACTGCTACAAAATAAATGTTACAAGGGGAACCAAATATTTGATCCGAGCAAGTTTCTTATATGGGAATTATGACGACCAGTATAGATTGCCAGAATTCCAACTACATCTTGGGCCTAATTTGTGGGATTCAGTGAAGTTGGAGAATGTCTCCACCGTCACAAACAAAGAGCTCATACACGTCCCTCCGCGAAACTATATCCACGTTTGTTTGGTGAACACAAACAAAGGGGTTCCATTTGTATCAGCAATAGAGCTAAGGACTTTGCATAATACAACTTATGAAGCACATGCAGGGTCCTTGGCACTTGATTCGCGATATGACACTGGTCAAGTATCAAAGCGAGTGTATAGGTCAGTAATTTCCGTGCTTATAATAATATATATATATTTGAGGGATTTTCAAATAAAATAAGTTGGTTCACCTTATTTCTTCATGATTACATACTTTTTAGGAATTTATTTTGGGTTTTGGGTTTCCCCTTTTTTATTTCGCTTCAAAAAACTATGCCAGCAATTTTCTCAAGTTTTCCCTTCATTTAAGGGTATTTGGTCGTCTAAATTTTTTTTGGAGCTTGTAGCCTTTTAAATATTACTCATCCCCTGAAAAATTATTGACCTCCGCCATTGGGAAGCGAGATACTCGATATGTCATTCATATTATTGATATCATGTTGATATGGATGTTGACATTTTCTCCATGTAGATGGTATAATGCATTCGATATATGAATGTTGATATGTTATGGATATGTTGTGCGATACATTGTCGAGTATTCCAATCCAGATAACCAGGAACGGAATCCCTCTTAAGGGGGATTATGTTTATGTATATGTATATATTAAGAATTGCCATTCTTTTTCATTACATAACCATGAAATTTATATCTCTATTTAGGTATCCAGATGATATATATGATCGCTTCTGGTATGGCTATGACCGCGATGAGTGGACACAATTAAACACCTCGTCCGCCATTGACTCTAGAGATAACAATGATTACGAAACACCATCTGTCGTGATGACAACTGCTGCCACGCCAAAAAATGTAAATGATTCCTTGAATATTTTCTGGCTGCCTTCTGATAACAGTGCAAAATATCATGTTTACATGCACTTTTCAGAACTTCAAAAGCTCCAAGTCAACCAGTCTAGACAGTTGACAATTACTTGGAACGGAGAACTCTTTTATGGCCCATTTGCTCCTAAATACTTGTTTGTAAATTCTATTTATGGCTTGACGGATTGGAGTAGAGGGCAATTTATTACTCTTTCAATCTCTGAGGTTGGGAACTCTACCCTCCCACCCATCCTCAATGCTTTTGAGATCTACATGGTCAAAGACTTCTCAGAATCTCTTCTTGAGAGTCTCTCTCTCCTAGTGAGAGTTCCCATACCCCTGGTGGTATCTCACTTCCTCATACCTGTTCCCATCTCAGGTCTTATCCTTTGTTCTCAATCCTTGTTACCAGCTTAGATTTTATCCCAATTCTCCTGTCTTCTACCTTCTTCTCTTTTCCCCTGTTTCTCTTGATCGTTTCCTTTGCTCTCTCAAAAACTCCAAACTTCAGTTTTTTCTCTTAACCCACATTTTCTATCCTCTGTTTTTCCATTACACCTTTCCCATATTCCACAATTCTCAGTTTTTATCCATGCCTTATATCTTCTTCAAAATCTGCCAATTTCTGCGTTTTGTTTAAATCTCATCTTACTCTATTGGGGTTCTTTATTTGTACCAGCTTTGGGAGGATGGAGGTTGGTTTGACTACCCCTGACCAACTTGCGGTTCAAATAGGGACATCACTAGGTTTACAGGAACTCAAAGCTGGAGTTACCCTGTTTGGTTCTTTGATTGCTGATAAACCTCCAAATATTGGGGCTGTAAAAAGGATGCTTAGGAATGCGTGGGCTGCCTTTGGAAATGTCCAAATCGTGGATGTCAAAGATTTACTTTTTTCTATAAAAGTAGATAATGAAGTTGCTGCAAAAAAAATTATAGACGGAGGTCCATGGACGATTATGGGGTTTGTGTTCTGTGTTCAGTATTGGCCACTAAATCTTGCTCTGGAAGAACTGAACCCCAGTCTGATCTCATACTGGGTTCAAGCCCATGGGGTTCCAAGGGGACAAATGAATGGGGAAACGGCGGGTCAGATTGGAGCACAATTTGAGAGGCTAATTGGGTTTGAAGACCCAGACCAACCTGGGGGAATGAGAGGGTATCTTCGTTCAAGAGTGGAACTGAATGCCTCGAATCCATTACCCTTGGGTATTTGGCTCCTACGCCCTGATCAAACTGAGTCTTGGGTGGAATTTCTCTATGAAAGATTGGCTAATTTCTGTTTCCAGTGTGGTCGCCTTGGTCATGGACTTGATCATTGCAAATTTGACTGCGTTCCTGATGAGGATGATGGGAAGCGCCAATATGGATCCTGGATGCAAGCCAAGATATCTCGTGACCTGGGTGTTTCTCCTCCTATCAAGTTACCAGTAGAGACACGGCGTCGAGCGGTGGCTACTAGGAGGACAGTCGGTGATCCTATAGCGAGTGGTGTTCACGTTCCCACTGAGCGTGTGAACCGATGTGAACAGGGCGTGCCTCGCATGGCTAATCCAGCTATTATTCCTGCTATCCAGCCATCTGTTGTCGGAAGAGAGAACAGTGCTTGTACATTGTCTATTGTGCCTAATAAACAGGGCGTGCCTCATATTGCTATTCCACCATCGGTTGTCGGAAAGGACACAATGCTTGTACATTGTCTATTGCGCCTAATAAACAGGGCGTGCCTCGTATTGCTATTCCACCATCGGTTGTCGGAAGAGGAAACAGTGCTAGTACATTGTCTTTGGTGCCTAATGGTGAGGGCCCAGTAGCTAGAATTGGTTCCAATTCGGGTGCTTCTGCCAACAGACCTATCTTTTTAGCTGATGCAACTGTTAGACAATGGATTAATCAGGAATTGTTTATTTCTGTGACCAATAATTGTGCTTTTGTTGGACCTAAATGTTGGAACTTACCCTTGGGCTCAATGGCTGGTATCAAAGCCCACACTCTTGGCAATTCAGAGGCTTGTAAGAGTGGACCTGGCTATTTTATTAATACTCCTAAAATCCAGACAGCCCCCGTGTCTGGAGAAATCCAACCTTCTGAACCTCCTCCTATTCATCATACACATGCAGTTTCTAAACCTATCTCCCCTGAGTCCCCTCATCCCATATTTCCATCTAAAAGACCTCTTACTATGTGTTCCTCTCCTGAGGAATCTATCCGGAAAAAACCAAAAATTGCAACTCAGCCGTTCCACTTAGCTGTGTCTACCAGAGGTCCCAATATTTCACCAAAAATTAGCAGGGGCAGGCGTGGTAGGAGCAGATGTGTTAGAAACAGATTTCTTCAATCTATGGACCTCTGTGATGACTTTTTCAGTGAGGTAAGGGTTCCTTCAGCTGATCGTGATGAGTTATATTTGGATAAATTTGGTGTTGAGATATTTCCTTCTTTGGAGAGTGGTAGCCTCTCAGGCGGTGGCGGCTGGCCTTCAACAGCCACAACATCGCCATGAGTTATGTGGTTTGGAATTGTCAAGGGTTAGGCTCCTCCTTGACAATTCGGCCACTAAAGGAGTTAATTAGGAGGCGTCGTCCTTCTATTGCTTTTCTGTTGGTTTTGTCAAGGGTGAAGCTGCATTTGATGTGTGGGTGTATGTTTTGTGTCACTATGGATGCGGGAGGTCTTACTGGGGGCTTGGGTCCTCAGAGTTTTATGGACTCCATTTCCTTGTTGGATCTTGGTTATTTTGGGCAGCGGTTTACTTGGCAAAATCTTCTTTTTGGTTATGTCGGCAGCTTTGTTTTTGTGTGTTTGTCTTTGTTTCCTATTATGCTTGTTCTCCTCCGATTCCTTGCGGTTTTGTCTCGTTGTTGGATCTTCTCCACCGTGTTACGTTCTGGAGCATCTCTCCTCAGTAATACTATTGCTGTTGAGGATGCTTTTAAAGTGCTTTTGGCACTTACCTCTCGGATTATGGTAGCGCTCTCTGTAGCTGTGATGGCGTATCCATCACCATCTTCCTCTCGGTTCTTTGGCTCTTGTGACTTCTCTGGTGGTTTTGGTCTTGCATTGGGTGCCTTGCCAATTGGTTTTTGGTGGTGCAGCATGTCTCAGTTTCTTGTATTACGGACTTTCTTTCTGTTTCTTAGTTGTTGTTGTTTCCTTTTCTTTTTTTTTAATTTGATTGGGTGAGAAGCTTGGTTCTAGCCTTGAACTGAGGTCTAGCTGCTTTTACCTGGTTCGTGTATTTCTGGCTCTATTTGCAATCTATCCCGTTTTGGTTTCTTTGAAACCAAACATTGACCAAAAAAAAAAAAAAAAAAAAAAAAAAAAAAAAAGACGGTAATTACTATATTCTTCCTTACAATTCGCTCTGACACTGTGTCGGACTATTTCTATTCTTTAGGTAGCTCTTTTAGGGTCATCTATGCAAAAAATCAGTCAAATGCAGTTCATCAGATAGAAACTGAATCATTCTGCAGGGATCATCCTTAGAAGAGAGCCTAAAAAATGGATTCCGATCATTGGAACACAGACTGAAAATAGGATGTTCTCAATGTTATCCTCACTCAAAAACTTTTCTGCCTATAGAATAGATACATATTAAGTGAGTTTTGTGATTGTGATTTTGTGTTGGCATATGAAAATATTATAGCGAATGCAATCACAAACATCAAGTCAGCACATAACATCAAAAGGAATTGGCAAGGAGATCCCTGCAGCCCTCAAGTTTACTCATGGGAAGGTCTAAATTGTACTTATTATGAAAATGCCCAGCAGCCAAGAATAACATCCTTGTAAGTAACTCTTCACAAAAACTTTCAACCACTTATGTTTTAGTGAATTAATATAATAATTTGCGTAACACATGCAATCTTCCAGGAACTTGTCCTCAAGTGGATTAACAGGGGAGATATCTCCTAGTATATCCAATCTCACCATGATACAAACTTTGTAAGTATGCTTTAATTACTGTGTTTGAAATATCCACTGCATGCATACCAAATGAATGACTTGTTACTGTTCATCACTTTAGGGATTTATCGAACAACAAATTAACGGGATCAATTCCAGAATTTCTGTCTCACCTGCCAAAGTTAGCCGTCTTGTAAGTTATTGAATTGCAAATGGGACTAAATTATAATTCCTTCATTAAGTACAAATTATGGTGACAAAATGCAGTGGTTTTCGCTTTTCAGAAAGTTGGACAAAAACAATTTCACAGGTTCTGTTCCGAAAGGACTCATTCAAAGAAGGAAGGATGGTTTTCTATCATTCAGGTCTGTTTGTTTATTAACAAATAAACACAGAAACAACATCTTGGTTGATTATCCATCAAAATCTTAACAGTTGCCCTCAGCCATTTTGTTATCAGTTTCTGCGAAAATCCAAATCAATCCGAACAAGTCCCTTGCAAACTAAGGAAGAAACACTGTACCAATATTCACCTAGCAGTGTATATCCTTGGATTCTTCATTCTCTTATCAACAATATTAGCTGTCTTATGGGCGGTCTTTAAAAGGAAAAGACAACATGGTAAGACTGCCAAATAACTTTCTTTTTTTTGGGGAGTATTTTACTGATAACCCTTTTTGGTGTAGAGATGATGAAGAATTTCAACAAAAATGAATTTTTGGAGTCACAAGGTCAACGGTTTACATACTCAGAGATTGTGAAGATTACCAATAATTTTGCATCAATAATCGGAAGAGGCGGCTTTGGAAAAGTCTACCTTGGCACTCTGAAAAATGAGATTCAGGTTGCTGTCAAGTTACTCGGTTCATCAAGGCAAGGCTCAAAAGAATTTCAAAATGAGGTAGATATATGCAACTGGGATACTTAAGATTTACCTCTGGATCTCGAAAGTACAGATGTGAATATATACACATGTTGCTTACAAATATTGCAGGTTGTACTATTAATGAGCGCTCACCATAGAAACTTGGTTTCTCTCATTGGTTACTGCGGTGAAGGTGACACTATGGCCCTTGTTTATGACTATATGGCCAATGGAAACTTGGAACAACATATTTCATCTGGTATGCATGACTTTGCAAATGATTTGAGTAGAACTTGAACAATTCAGTGATACGGAATCGTGATGATCGACATCTCTTGGGTGCAGATGTGGGTAAAAACGTTTTGACTTGGAAAGAGAGGCTTCAAATTGCAGTAGATGCTGCGCGAGGTAACTGAACACTAAATAAAATAATTTACTACATGTATATATATATATGTGTGTGTGCGCGCGCGCACGTGTTAGGTGCATATGTCCAAACACCTTATGTTTAAGTACTTCTAAATGAATGTTTGGTTCTGAATAAGGAAACACTTATCATTCCTACAAATTAAGGTTTGACACATATTCAAAAATAATTTGTCACAAAAAAAGATTGTTTTTTGCATATATGTCAAACTGTAATTGACATGAAAATAGGTGTTTCTGCTTCCAGGAGGAGGCAAGTATTTTCTTTTGATTAAAGTTTTGTATTGGCTTGAGGACCAACTTTGTTATGCACCTTTTGCTTGATGTTGAGAAGAGAAATACCACTAAAATAAGACCTAATCCGTACTTATAGTGTTTGAACACTCATGATCATAAATAGATATGAATACCTAACATGATCCCCTAACTATCGCCCTAACTTTAGTTAGTTTACTTACCGTAGCTCAAGTCATAAATATTTTTGCAGGATTGGAATATCTACACAATGGTTGCAAACCACCAATTGTGCATAGAGATCTAAAGACATCCAATATCTTATTGAATGAAAAGTTGCAAGCCAAGATAGCTGATTTTGGTCTTTCTAAAGGCCTTGCAACTGAAAGTGTCACTCATGTATCAACAGCCGCCAAAGGAACATTTGGATACCTGGATCCTGAGTAAGTTTAAATTATGCTAATAGCTAGTTACATACTACAAGAGTTCTCATACAAATTTTTTGAGGTCATATGTCGCTGAGAAACCACGAAAGTCTTCTTCCAGTTGGTACTCAATACCATTTTGACTGAGGTGTTGTTTTATTAGCTATATTGTTTACAGTTTTTTTTTTCTTCTTATTCTCTCCAGATATTGCAGCACCGGACATCTTAACAAAAAGAGTGACATATACAGCTTTGGGATTGTGTTGCTAGAGCTCATAACAGGTAGAGCAGCAATAATAAGAGATTTAGAACAATTGCCTATTCACATATGTCAATGGGTGAGGCCTAAATTTGAGAGGATGGAAATCGAAAGCATTGTGGATTCAAGAATACAAGGAACCTACCTCCATTCTTCTGCTCAAAAAGCCATAGAAATTGCCATGGCATGTGTGTCTTCAACAGCAATCCAAAGGCCCGATATAACTGTTGTGTTTAATGATTTGAAAGAGTGTTTGGAAATTGAGATGCCTTCTGAAATAACAAAGATTACAGAAGCTTATGAGAGCGATGAGAGTGATGATACAATCAGTTCAAGCGGCTCAATTATAAAGACCTCCCACATCAGGTTTGAAAGTAACACTACTAGGTGGTAATTCTGTAATATTATTTGAACATTTGTAACCCAAAGAAAAATATTTAAAGTTTTGAATTCATTACAAGTACTTGTGCATGGATTCCAAGTCTATATTTAGAGACTGTGTATTTACTCGCATTTCGCAATATCTGGATCATTCTAATAATCCATCTGTTTAAAACATGACACATCAACAACTTAAGTGTTGTACATGCAATTGATATGGAGAAAAGGTTAATGGAGAAAAGATTAGTCGTACATAATAACATAGTTGGCTATATATATGTACGTGAACTGTGACATGTATTAAATGTTATGCGATTAGCTAAATGTATGGTCATGAACTGTTTTCGGTATTTATCTTTCTAGGCTAGCTAGTCACTGGTGAAACTTCTAAGAGCACTTTCGCCCCATTTTTATTTGCCATGGTAAAAGGGGGCCTAGGCTCCAAAAACAACCTCCACCCAAGGAAAAATTGCCATGGCAAGAAGTGGACCATGAAATTGGGCAAGCCCGAAGGAAAGACTTGCTTGGGTTGCTGCTTGAGCAAGTTGACGTCATTCTGACATCAGAGACCAATTTAAATATCAAAAAAATTGAAAAAAAAACCAAAAAATTTGGAAATTTTTCTATAAATATCTAGCCATGTTCTTCGCTTCCCACACCAAAACCTATACAAATTCATCTTCTCATATCCCATGTGAATAGTGGTTGCCCTTGGGTTGCCATGGTAATTGGTGGGAATGCATCAAAAAAATTGGTAGGACAGTCACTATTCAGATGAATAGTGTCTGCCCTTACTTGCCATTTTTCAAGAATTTTGGAAGAAAAAGAGCAAAATGAAAAAAAAAACAGAGATTGGGAAACCTGGACACCAAGGTTTCAAAGCATATGCTTTCACTTTCATTTCTAATTACCCAACTAAAAAGGTTAAAAAAATCTTTCCTATGATGGCAAAGGAAAACACAAAAGAAAGAAAACCTTTCCTATCAATTTGAAATTGTGTGGTACAAATTTATTGCAAATAGAAAATTATGGGATAAATGTATGTCATTAATTTAATTTTTTTTTTCTTTTCATTAGCTCAAGCAACAGAAATAGTGAAGGTCTATTTGTTTATCTTATTTTTGACCAACCAAGGCCTCTTGTGCAGCCCTCTGTGCTGGGCCTTTGGCCAGGCCCATACTTATGCCTTCAACAAAATTTTTTTTTGTCTAGTTTTGGAAATTCATTGAATTTTTTCCCCTCTCCATTGAATTATCAATTAAAGTTAGTTATTAATAATTTTACATGGATTGAAAAACAGGGATTATGATGCAGAAGGTGAAAGGCAACCAAATGTGGAGATTTTCTACCAGATAAATCACATCAACCAGACTTATGACTTTGTAAGTAACTTTCCCAAACATCACTATACTTCACCATTTTACTTCCTAGGTATGAGATAACATTGAAATATAGGTCTATTTTCATTTGCATCTGTCTAGCTAATACCAAATATTTATAAAAAAAATGTAAAACGGGTTCAGAGAATGAGAAAAGAGTACTGAAAATTGAACAGGGTGGAGATGAGCATATGGGAATGCTGTGAACTTCTGAATGAGGTTGTGGATGAGAGTGATCCGGACTTAGACGAACCTCAAATCGAGCACTTGTTGCAAACAGCTAAAGCCATTAGAAAGGACTATCCCAATGAAGATTGGCTGCACTTGACTGGCCTTATCCATGGTATTAATATCTTCAATATTATCTGTTCTTCTGGACTTCATACCAGTAAGTGAAGTAAGTTGCTAATTTGATCCCTTATGTGTTTTAGATCTTGGGAAGGTGATTCTTCTTCCTAGCTTTGGGGAGCTTCCTCAATGGGCTGTTGTTGGTATGAGTCGAATTTCATGCATCAAAATTTAGCTATATTGTGCAGAAATACATGTTTTCAACTTCAGAAATTACTAACCCTGATCCTTGTTTCAGGTGACACATTCCCAGTTGGCTGTGCTTTTGACCAAGCCAATGTTCATCACAAGGTACTTTATCATTGATTTACTTACTAAAAACACTCCAAAGATGTATATATAATATTTAATTTGCTGATCAAACATTCTGTTCATGTCATTGCTATTGCAGTATTTCAAGGAAAATCCTGACTACTATAATCCTGCTTACAGCACCATATTTGGAGTTTACTCAGAGGGATGTGGACTCGAAAATGTAATGATGTCGTGGGGGCATGACGACTACATGTATTTGGTACATTTTCTAACTTGAATCATCTAACACTTTAGACAGTATGATCAAACAATTTTGCCATTCATTAAATGAATACAATAAAATATTAATTCAGGTGGCCAAGGAGAATAATTGCACTCTACCCTCAGCAGCTCTGTTCATCATTAGATACCACTCATTCTATGGTATGTGAAATAATACAAAAGCACCATAATTTTTCCTCATTTTGTGAGTAATTGATTGTGATCAAGTCCTCTTGAAATTGCAGCTTTACACAAGGCAGGAGCATATAAGTACTTAATGAACGAAGAGGATGTCGAAAATCTGAACTGGCTTCATGTATTCAAGTAAGTGTTTAATTCCTGGGTTTTAAATTCACGCTCTTTGTGCTTCACCTCTTATTGATTTCTCTGTTGGTCTAAATGCTTAATGTCACACTGCATTTTCATTTTTTCCATGCAGCAAGTATGACCTCACCTTTACAGCAAGAGCAAGGAACGGATTGATGTTGAGAAGGTGAAGCCATGCTATCTCTCTCTCATTGAAAAGGTAAGTAAGCACAACCTGATTTTTCATTTGGTTCAACTTCCTTTTCAAGCACAACCTGATTTTTCTTCACCGCGTTAATGATTTGGCTTTTAAATTTTTTATTTAAACAATGCCTGTTGTGCAGTACTTCCCTTCCAATCTAAGATGGTGAAACTTCTCAGCTCTGCCGTTTGATGAGCACTGAGGGTGGATTATGCGTACCAGCACCTTGCTAACTAGCTGTACAAAGAAGACGACATTTCGACTCGTAGCTGCATTTTCTTGTTAGTTCATAAAAGTTTTCATGTAAAATTATCTTTCATGTATGGTGTATTTGTGTGAGCTATTAATAAAACTTCAGCATGATATGATTATGATGTGAGAAAACCTCTCCCCTTTTGCTCTCTGTCCAAGTCTGTAGGCTAATTTCAGGTTCAGCAGGATCAAAGTAAAATAAGGGTTTAAAATAATGCAACTCATACTTTCAGGTTCAGCAGGATATAAATACTATACTTGGAAGTGTACTTCACATTAGACATACAAACTTCTGGCACCAAAAAAAAAAAAAAAAAAAAC